GCAGCGACCACTGTTCGCACGTGCTTCTTGATGACTCCCAGTTCCCCTTCCACGCGGCCATTGGACTTGAAAGAGTCACCTGATGTCAGGGTGGTGACAATGCCACGATCCAAAGTCCATCTTCTCACCGGCGCTGAAATCAGCTCTCGTGCACGATCGCAGTGAATGCGGTACACCGGGAGTCCAAGGCTCCTAAGTCGGGCATAGATTCTGGCCAAAGCTGGAAGGATGTGTGTGACTGCCCGACCTGGAAGCACCTCCACAAAGGTCAGGTTGCGAACCTTGACTTCTTGCTCCTCCTCCACCGCTTTGTGCCATGCCTCAAATTCTTCTTGGCCCTTCCGAACCCCAGCCTCCGTCACACCGCCACCACACTCATCCTCCGCCGCCTTCGCCGTCTCCGTCAGCTCCTCCCCCAGACCCCGTGCCTCTTCCGCCTCCAACATCACGACATCGCCGGGATCATCTGGTGGCTCTGAGGGCGTGTACTCATCGGCGTCCACGTTGAAGGAACTCGGATCGGCATTTTCAGGCACATCAAGTGGACGGCTGTTTGGAAGCTCAGCCAAAGGATTTCCAGCCTGGTCCACGGGAAAGGTGTACACTGCCACCATCATGTACCGGCATTCATGGCGACTTTGATCATGACCAGCCACCATCTTTCCTGAAAGATCAATGCTCAGGGTGTATGCCTCTGGATGGCTTACCCTCTTGTGTGGCTTACTCCTCGCTGATGCTTTGACGCAATGCTTGCAATCTCTCCGGGCCGGCATGTGGTCATTGAGATAGTGAGCCCGCCACGACTCTAAAGCCACCTGACCCAACGGACGAAGAGCAGCTTCCAGCGAAGGGGTTGTGCCACGATGCAAACGATCCTGGATGGCTAACACCAAAGCAACTTTCAAACCAGGGGCCCAGGCAGACCAGGACCTTGAATCTTCGCACCGTGCTTGCAGGGTCATGTCATTTCGATCAGGGACTTGACCGGCAGGGTGAACTCCACTTGGTGGTCCACGAACTTCATTCAACACCTGGATGTCCCTGAGCACAACTGCCAATGTCGTCGGCTTGCGTTTTGTGTGGCCCATCGGACCCTGGTCGAAGTGGAGCATCTTGATCTGGTACTTCGTGGCAAAGTCCTGCCATTCACGAGTGCGCCAGATCGACATGAATTTCTTTTCTTCAACTTCAGCATGAGGTCTGTAACGAGCAGGGTCCTCTGGCTGTTCGATGGCAAGTCCTGTCTGGGGCTCGTCGGAGAAGCGCACATCCTCACATACCATGTACATGGCCAGCATGCGAAAGAGCAGCACGCTTTCGCCCACCACCAACTCCTGCTCTGCTTCCGTCAGCATCGGAAGGCCATAGGGGTGTTCTTCTGACCGAAGGACTCCAGGACCACCATCATCTTGGTATCGCAAAGCCGACACCGTTCGACAGGGCGGACCGCCCAACAGGGCCTTGACTCGACCCGAAGCTGCCAGCATCAGGAGGTACCGGAAGACGTTGTCGTCATGGAGATCAGCCGGTACCTGAGCATTGAGGTCCACACAAAGCACCTCTACTCCATTGCCGGACAACTTCTTTTCCCAAAAACGTTGGTCAGGACCTGAAAAAAGATGCACGACCACCTGCTTGGCGTTGGCGATGTTGCGCCGTTTTCTTCGATTCCAGGGCAAGCGGCTTCCGTCAATGCCGTCCTGCACATAGGTCATCTCTGGAATCACCCTCATCAAGATCTCATCAGGGAGAGCTGGAAACAATGCTTTCAACTTCACCGTCAAAGCCAGCTCGATGTCATTCTTCATGTCGGCCACTCCCATGGACGTTGGGTCCGTGATCAATGCGTTCACCAGCATTGTCTTCATGGCCACTTTCAACTGCCGAATCTCCAACTTGTTGATGAGCTCTCGTCCCACCTCCTTGGAGACCATGGGGCAATTTTGGTTGATGGTCACAGCGACCTCCTTGCCTTGTTCGTCGCACAGCCAGCATCGTGCTCCCTTCCAACCAAACTTGTAGCCCAGCTCCGTAATGCCACCCATGGGGACAATCCACGATTGCTTTGCTTCCTCCTCCTGCGGTGACGATAGGAGCACCTTGGAGTTCGGCTTCAACCTCAGCTTGTCGGTGACACCATCAGCCAAGGAGACTTGAGTGGGGTTTGCACTCTCCCACTCTTCCATGCCAGTTGCAGGCCGCAATGCATGGGTTGCACCTGAGTCCAAAAGAACCATCATGGAGCTGTTGTCATAGTCCAGCTGGCTCACCTAAATTACCCGCAACTGAGGTGCTCTGAGCGACTTCAACAACTTTGTGGCCTCTTGAAGCAACACTTCACTTGACGTAGCTCCTGTCTCCCCACCACCTCCTTGCTTCGCTGCTCCTCCACCTCCAGCTTCACCTTGCGGCAGTGCAGGTGTTTGTTCACCAGCATCCATCTCCTGAAGCTTGGGCGTAGCATAGGTGGTTGCCGAACTTGGAGCTCCAGCGCCAGTTGATTTGGGCGCACCAGCATTAAGAGCCGTCTGGCCCTTTCCTCCCCCTGAACCTGCCCCAGGTTCACCAACGGGCTTGCTGTCCTTGTTGGAGCCTTTGGATTGCGAACCCTTCACTTTGCAATCCGACTTGCGATGGTCTTTGCCCCCGCAGATCCAGCATCTCGCGTTCTTGTCCTCCACCCCGTCCCATGAATGCGACCACTTGCAATTCTTGCCAGCTTTGCACCCGGTGTCCGAGCGGAAGTATCTGCAGGGTTGAGCCACCGTGGAAACACCCTTGCCCTTCTCAGACTGGCCATTCGAAACTGTCGAGGGTCTGGCCGGAGCGTCCATCTGCTTGACCTTGATGGAAGGTTGTGGTGAGGCAATGGGTGCATTGATCATCAGCGAAAGCGTCTCTGCTTCCGCAAGCAAGCATTGGCTGAACCGCCAAACACCTTGGTGATGAGGACGTTGATCGATACCCAACTGCAACCTGCTTTGTGCCAGGCGAAACGAAGCTTGGGAGTCCTGAGCTGCAATCATCGTACACGCTGGCTCCAAGGCTGCAAGCAACAAAGTGCCATCAGGAAGCACTGCATCGATCTCACCAGCTCTGGCGAAATGACGTCGCCACGACCTCAAAGCAGCTGCAAGCTCCGTGACTGTAGTGCTCTTGTCCAAGGCCGTCAACTTTGAAAGCAAAATGGCTTTCTCCCCCGAGCCACCAGGCTACCTCACCATCAGGCGGAAGAGCAATGCCGTGGAATTCAACTCTCGCGCTGAAATCAGCGCCTGCTGCTGGTCGGCCGGAATGGCCCTGAGGAGCAAATTCACCCCCCTCTGCTCTGCCCGCTCCAGAGGTGATGATGTCTTCCACCTCTCATAGAAACACTGTGCCTCCCTCAAAGTCAGATTCCACCACCTGGCACTGACTTGGGAAATGTCCCGAAGGACGGGGCCACAGACCGCCAGCCAATCGCCCAGCTCCAGTGGAGAAGCGTCTGCCGCTAACTCAGCCAGCTCTGCTTTACCATTTGCTGTGCCCTCATTCCATGGTAGTGGAACGGGAGCCGAACTGTCCGCACCACGCCAGCAGCCATAGTTTCCACCAGGTAGGTCATCTCGTGGAGGACCCCCATCTCGACTGCCCGGAATCGCAACCCATGGATTCATTCGGCCAGCACCTTCACTTGCAACCCCATGAAGATCGCGGCCAAATAGACATGGATCAGGAGCACGTCGACCAGATAGTTCATCCCCCATCAACATCTCCGGTGGAGGTGCAGGTGGTACTTCTTTGGAGCCCATGGCCGGCTGCCAGCTTGCTCCATCTTGCATCCGCTGAAGCGACATCTTCAAATCCTTCACCTCGTGCTCAAGTCGCTCGGCACGAGTGTCCCTAGGCAGGAATGTTTTCCCTTCTCGCAAGCTCGCGGGGAGCCAGTGATCATCTCCACGGCCACGTCGACGGGATTCCAGCCATTCGTAGCCCTGCAGGAGACTAATTTCAGCTGAGTCACTTGTGGGAAAAGGCGGCAACGAAGCATCCGGAGGCGGTCCTGGAGGGACCTTGGTGCCGTTCGGAGTGAACTTTGCACCTTGCTCATCTCGCTGCCTTCGTGTAGTAGGACTTCGCCCCCTTGGAGTTTGCTCGCCCCCAAGCATACTTGCTTGCGCATCACCGCTCAAGCCATCTACAGTCTCCCATGAGGAAGGCGTCGAGGTAGGTCCAACAGCGGCCTTAGTCACCTTAGTCATCTGTCGCCTGAGTCGAGCCAGTTCTTCGGTCAACTGCTCGTTCTGCTCTCGCAGAAAGGTGACCATTTCCGCTTCCAGTGCACGCTGGATTCCGTCCTCCTCATCGCCCCTCACCGAGGCCTTGTGGACCTTCACCGGCCCTGTAGGAACCCCTTTTGGTGGCATGGGTCCCATTGTTTGTCGACTAGTCTTGGAGGGTGCAGTGGTTTCCTCCCCTGGCAACACGCCTTCGGACCTCCTCAAACCAACTTGACCTTTTCCTGTTGGATCTCCATGGCTTGGTGGTGTCACGTACATGCGTCCACCTGTAGTGGTCGAAACACCTCGGCCACTACCCATGCCATGCCCAGTGCCCATGTCCTGCACTGTTTCCATCTCCAGGTCCTCGTCATCCGTCGGGATTGGGAGGTTCTCAGGGCGTTTCTGCCAGAGGATGATCTCATCCTGCAGCCTCTTGGACCAAAAAGGGTTGGTCGCAACCTCAGTCGGTCCTTGCCCACCTTGCCCAGGTGGTAGGGATCTCGCCCGGTCCATGGCGAGGCGCTAAAAAGCGGGATTTGGGCTCATAACCCTTGAGGAAATGAGATCCGCACCTTTTCACACTTGTGCAACAAATGCCTACGGTGTTCGCACCGCAGTGATCCGTGGGATGAAAGACCCAGAAAGCTGTGAAATGCAAAAAACCAAAAAGAACTACTGAAGTCTTTGCCCAAAATGACACTCATTCCATTGTTCATAAGTGGTGTCCACCCCAGTCACCTCATGGCTCTTCACGTCCAGGTCTGCCCTTAATTCAATCTCAGACTTTCGGGCTGCTGCAGCTTGCGTCGCCTGATGGGCAAAGCTCGTGGTCCACACGGTCCACACGTTGGGCATTCAATCAAGGAGCAATTTCTCTCCAGCGTTGCATGGCAATTGTTCATGATCGTTTCAAGGGCGAATAGCACTTGCCTGTTGCTCTAGCACTTTGGTTTCGAGAAGGGCGACTTCACCCTGTAGGCGCCGCACCTGAACTCAGCAGTGCAGTCAGTCAATCACTGTTCCTTCTTTTCAGCTGCAGCTATCCCCAACCTACATCAACCCACTGTATTTTCTCTCTTTTGTTTTGGTTCAGGTCTAGTCGGGTTTAGCTGGGAACCCAGTCAGATAATGCCTGCACCAATACGCATCCATCCCAAACATTGCCACGTTTATCGGAGCCACTTCGTGTCTTTCCAGATTACAGTGTGCAATATTTTTTTTAATATTATATATGTATATGTGTATGTGTGTGATCATACATGTCAAATATATGGTATATGTGAATATATATATATACAAATGTATACATCATTATATATCTATATGTATATAACAATAAGACTCAATGAATTCGTGCCTTGTCATTCTATGAGCTAGCTGCTAGCAGCTAGCTGCCTTGTCCCCAGGGAACGATGCAGCGACGCACGGAACTCAAACACCCAAGGCCCCCCGCAGCTTGAGCAGGTACATCTGAGCCCAAGGCTGCAATCTGAGTTTCTCAAGACAAGGCGTTAAGGCGTCAAACAAGGGGCACTTAATTCGTTATGCGTTCTTCTGGGCCTCTGAAAACCTTTGGCAGGCTTTCACGTGCTTTCACCTACTAATCACCTCTTATTGCATGCCTCCGTATGACTTTCCTGCGTGAATGAGCATGAATGATCAGGAGGAGATGACACATGTGCAGATTTCTCCAAGGCATTAAAAGACACGTTGAAGAAACCCCGCCACCTTACACAGGTTTCACCAAGGCAAAACATATTCCAACGAAGTGCCCTCAGAGCTTCTGCAAAAACATTGTTTCTAATAACATGGTCACACGTTGGTATTAGAGCCTCAGTGTTGTTACAGTTACGTATCGTTGGCGAGTTCGTTTTTGTGAACCCTTTCTGTGCTCTGAAACCTTGGTGCTTGAAAGGTAGGTGAATTACCTGCGCTTTAGGGAGACAGAGCATTTTACACTGCAAATCTCAGCATTTCTACCCTGTTTCCGTGGTTGTTTGTTTCGACGGCCGAAGTAGTTGCCGCAAAACCCTTTTTCAGAGCTTCCCGAGCGCTCCCGTCAGGTCAACATCTGCATCTGAGTTGGCACGCCAAACGAAAGCGTAAGCGTAGTTCATCAGGCGCTCCGAGATGCCGCCCCCCTTTGTTTCTTTCACTTTGAAGGACTTCGGCGCCGCTTTCTCCAAGCTTTGCCACCATATGTCGACACATTGTGTGCCTGAGACAACGAACCCTGGGCGTTTCAGAGACTTGATTTTCTTGGCAAATTCTTGTTTGTCGCGACTGACATGAAAAGTTGCCAACTGCTTCTTGCCTTGGAAGATTCAACTCCAGGGGCTGAGCCGGGCGGCAGCAACTTCATCGGCACAGGAGCCACAACCACCGGCACATTCCTCTTCTTGAGAGCAGCTATGCGGGATGGCGCCTCACCTGCGCACACAAAATTCGCCTCACCTGCGCACACAGCCTTTTTTTATATTTAACTCACCTGCGCACACAGGGTTCGCCTCAGCTGCGCACACATCGATTACATTCTTCTTTAAACACCCCATGTTACCTCAAACTCAGCTGCGCACACAAGATTCGCCTCACCTGCGCACACACAAATTGAGTCATGATCTCTTTTTGCGCGTTGCTTCCACAGTACCACGTCACACAGATGCTCTGCGTTTGATTGATGATGTTCATTCATTCATTTTCACATATTCCTTCAGTCCCTCATTCATCCACTCATTCATTCATTCATTCATTCATCCATTCATTCAGCCGAGCAAGCAGCGTGCACAGCCGAGCAAGCAGCGTGCACAGCCGAGGAGCGCGTGCACAACCGAGTAAATCTATGCGCGTGTACAGGCGAGGCAAATTCCACGTGTACAGCCGAGGCTCCGCCCGCTATGCGCACATGGCCCAACCAGTACTTCGGGAGTCGCTTGGACCCATTCTGCTTTTTCCATCTTGCAGTGGCCTCTTCAACTTGACAAGCAAAGGTCGCATTTCCCTGACTCACATAAATCTTGCGAAGAGCACGACCATCACCTTTGACAGCCCCAGCGAGTTTGTGAGCGCTGCGGCTAAAGGTTTTTCCGGCCAGAGTCTTGGTATAGCGAAGGCTATCAAACACATGTTGGATTCGTGTGCGCCCCAGGTGCAGTTGTGACTGAGCGTCGTTTACGAGTGGGAAGCGACTCTTGTTCACTCTCCCATAGTGAATCAGCCACAGAAGATCTCTCAAAGCTAGCCGAATCCCTATGAAGACTGAGAAGTCAGAGACATTGAAGCGAGCCCTGCAATCAGACTTCTTGCAGCGCACATAGAGCTTGCAGTAACATTTCTTGGTAAAAAGAGTGCCAAACTGTAAGCAACAGCAAATAATTCTCATGCAATGTATCAAAGTTGAGAGGCCATCTATCTGATTGCAATACAATGTCCAGAGTGGCAGCCACAAAAGGATCAGGGGTGGAAGCATCACAAAAGGTCTTCAACAGGCTATCAATGTAGAAGGGTCCGCCTCAAACCACCCTTTCAACAAGTGCGGAACTTCATCCACCCCTGTCCAGTGTCCCAACCAAATGAAAGCAAGAAACAACGCAGAAAGAAAGGAACAAAGCACCATACTGAGACCTGGAAAACTGCGGTAAACAACGCACGCGCTTGACGGAAAAGACACTGTGCCAAGCATAATGCATTTAAAAGATAACATTGATGGAACATCATATATAAGTACTTTTCCGGGGAAGAGACCGTGACTCACAACCTGTATACTGCATCGACAACGGACGTTATTATCCCGGCCCCATCCCCCCCCCACCCCACCCTCCAGAACCCATGCTTATCACAGGAAAAACGCTCAAAAACAGCAAAAACAACACGAAACACCACGGCCCTCTATGGGCGGTGCTCCAACTACTGTAAAAGGTCATACTGTAAACCCATGTAAACCCCATGTAACATCGGAGAAACCCTCATGTAACATCAACGTCATTATCCCACCCCAACCCCACCCCACCCCCATCCCCCATGTAACATCACAAGTTATATGTAGTGTCGAGGGTCAAAACGCACAAAACGTAGGGCCCTATTATCACCGTGCCTCCAATTGCATAAGCCTGGGCCTCCCTGCATGACGGGCTTGTTCTGCCGAGCGAGCCTTGAAATGTCTTGAAAGGGTGGAAACCTTTGTCTCAGTTCTCACAAGAAGTCGTCTGATCTATTGCCTCTTGCCAATCAGGCTGTGCCAAACAACCAGGGGGACATGCTCACCACCCATCCTGAAGCATTCCCTGTTTTACGATGTCTTGTTGTCAGTGACATCAGATTGAGAAAGTCTCCTCCTGTTGGCGAAGGTGATCTCTCAGAGAGCGGCTTTCTGCCTGGGCCTGGGAGGAGGACGATGAAAGGGTTGAAAACTGGAAGCATTAAACAAGGTTGTTAGGCTTCAAGTGCCTTCCTAGCCTAGCATGGTTCTTAGCTCCACAGAATGAAGCCCAGTTGACAATCGGGTAATCGGGTAGTAGTGTCTGCTTCAGCTGCGCTTGTTTGTTTTGGAACAGCAAAACGAATTCGAACAAAAGGGCGACAGAAAGGCCAACTGCTTGTGTTTGTTCAATGCCTGGCCCGGCCCCGAAATCCCGAAGAACCCTAGGACAGTGACTTCTTCCAGGCGTAAAGGCCATTCTTCCTCCACACGTACATCTCCCTTGCAGCGAAGACAGGTTATTTTGCACTCGCATTTGCCAAACTCTGAAAACTCATGAACACTCTAAGTGAATATGAATGGTTCACGTCACTTTTTCAGTATCAAGGCAAGCCAGTAGAAGTTGTTTGGTTTCGAGAATGGTCAGTGAGAGCTCAGGTTTTAGACCCTTCAACAGAAAAGAATCCACATGAATCGATTGGTCTCTTGCGTCAGCCCCATACCAAGTCATCCCAAGCACACCTTTGGAAGTCGCGCTTCTGCCTAGCATCAGCTCGTGTACGTGGTGTAGCTCCGATGAGTCGAACTGCATATTAAAGCATGATAATTCACTTGTTCCTAGCAGCTTATTGTTTCTAATAGCTTCTTGTTACTACTAGTAAGGCACTTGTTACTAGTAGCGATGCACTTGTTCCTAGATACTGATTAATGATTCAATAAATTCTTCTTGTTTCTACTGGTAAGGCACTTGTTACTACTAGCGATGCACCTGTTGCTAGTAGCGATGCACCTGTTACTGATTAATGGTCCTGTGAACCATTTTGAGAACCTTTGAGAAACGATGATAAGAATTATATATCGAATGATCAAGAAACTGAGAATGATGATAGGAAATTGTCCGAATGCACACTCCAATCAAACAGTCTCGGGCAATTATTCAGGTCGCTCTATGTAACCGTTCAACCTTTTGCAATCCCTCCACCTTTTGACATGCGCACATGATTGTTTGACATTGTTTCACACCCTCTTTAGATGTTGCAAGGAAATTCGCTTCTCGTCCATGCTAAGCTGCTAAGCATCTTTCGCTTTTGACATTCTTTCCTTCTGTGACTTCTCATGGAAGTGGTTTTGAAAGGCTTCGGCCAGAATTCAGGCCCTTCCAAAACCAGTTTCACTTGAAGAAATCGACCTGCGGGAAAAAAAAAAGATGATTTCCCACAATTCCCTGGAAGCAGGTATGTACAGAACGAGGTCGCAAACGGAGCTTGATCACAAATCAAGAGCTCCAAAAGCTTTTATGTTGGAGGAACTGAACATTGAAATACGACCCTTCAAGCAACACTGTTGTGTTTGGCTGTTTTTGTGATATCAAAAAGTAATCTGTGCAGTTGGAGACAAGCATGCAAATCAAGCAGAAAATCATCACAATGGAAGCTGCAAGTAAGAAATGAGCGTAGATGTAAGAACATTCTCTCAAGAACCTTCTTGTATCTCACTTAGTCTCTACCAAACTCTTGGCAGTCTTCGGTCAAAAGATTGGCCAAGTAAACTTACTCCTGCCAAAGCATAAGGATCTCACCTCTCGCCAAAATCAAGGGTGAGAAAACGCATCGCGCTGCTCTGCTCTGTGGAAAAGGAAAACATAGGGGCCTATCAATTTATCTCTGACAGCCGTGAAATGATTTCCAACAGGCCCTGCAAAGACTCTGGTCTTGGCTTCCCCATGTTCAGGTCTCCTCCAGTCCCCTCGGGTGGGACTCTATTCCGTCACGAGTCTCGAGCGGGACTTCTGTCGCATCAACCCACTTGTACTGCTTGGACTTCTGGACCCAACCAACAAAGCTCCGTCGCCCGCCCTGCACACAGGACAAATGGGCGCTTCGGCGACTTTTCCTACACAGTCATGTTGGATGAAGGGAAGAATACTCTGGTTTGGAGTGACCTCTGAATAGGCCTTTTCTTGTTTTGCAGGATGGCTACAAGGCAGAATTGTGTTTGGCAATTGTCAAGAACAACTGCAGGAGACTTCGAGTCCAACTCCCGAAAAACAAAAGATTGCACCATGCATTCACAACAGGGCTGCCAGCCATCCCCACAATGAAAGGACATCTGCAAAACTCAGTTGTCAAGTGCAACCCAATTTTGCCTGGTCGCCAAAGTCGTCTTACAGGTAGTTCAAAGTCTGCACCGGTCCATATACACCCAACACCCAGAGATTTCAATCGACGAAGTGACTCATCTGCCAAGGAGCTGATATGGACGTGAAATTGGGGCGCTTCTTGCCTGCACAAAGGCTTTGGCTAGGTCTTTGACACCCTCATTTTTCGCAAATAAACAGTGCAGTGCCGTTGCATAATCTTCCAATGTCTTTCTAAAATCACGAGGTTGGCATCTTCTGCGGGTTGGCTACATGATATGTTTTCTGGAAGTGCCGGTTGAGTGTGTCAGCAGCTTGGGAGATGGGACGGTAAGGGAAGTAAATGTCATCATTAGAAGCAAAAAGTTCCGGTACGGAACTATATGCAAATCAAGCGCGCGATGCAAATTCCAGAGTGTGATGACATCGTTCAAAACGCGAGTCGCTTGCCCGTGCCTTCCCACTTCAAAATGAACTGAAGCCGCAGCTTGAAGCCACCAAACTCTACATCCATCAGTTCCTGGCAGATGTGCTCAGTATATACATAAATACAGAAATGACCTCAGGATTGATACATGTGTCATGTGTGGTGCTTCCAAATCGTGCTTCAAACGTTTCTGCTTTGAATGGCTCCTGGCATCGCTACTAGGAGCAAGGACGCCACTGGGGGCTACTAGGGGCTCCTGGCCTTACTACTAGGAGCAAGGACGCTACTAGGGGCTCCTGGCATCGCTACTAGGAGCAAGGACGCCACTGGGGGCTCCTGGCATCGCTACTAGGAGCAAGGACGCTACTAGGGTCTGCATGGATCTTCAAAGTGAGGGGACTAAAGCCAGCCCCCTGCTAGGTCGGTATGCGGTCGCTCACTTGGCTCTCCGCAGCCGCTGGGTTCATTCCCCCTTACCTAGCTGCCTGCATCTGCCTGCCAAGCAAGAAACACCGCTCTTTGCAATGCATTTCGATTTCCCCCAGCAGGCTCTGGGCGCATCCCCCCTAGCCACTTGACCATACAAAAAAAACACAACGCTTTACGTTTTGCTGACTTGGCTCTCGCACAGCAGCATCTGGGCTCATACACACACCCTCACCCTCCCGACTGATTCGTTTGCGATTACTTTTACTGCTTGTCTACACACTTCCCCCCTTAACACATTGCTACGTGTACAAGACCCCTCAGCTGAAAATTACGGTCTTTATGGTTTCTAGTGAGGGCCAGGAATTGATGCAAAAAATGCAAAATAACTTAGTCTGGCATCACGCGCATCATCCAATCGGTTTTAAGAACACTTGGCCCACCCCTTTTTTTCTCTCCCCAGCAGGAACTGGGTTCACCCCACACGCAACAACCCCCACACCCCATAAACTCACTTCCTTCGCCATTTCGCCATGCAGACCTTCAGCCTAACCTTCGGCTGGCTTTCTTTATTACAAAGAAGAAAGGAAAAGTTCGGTTGTGTATTCAATCAGACTGTTCTGTGGTTTGTATGGTGTTGCGCTTGCTGTGTTGCAGCCTGTGGCACTACTTCGCATCAAATCCATGACGTCCATTGCTGGCACCTATATACCCGATGGCCTGCTAACCTATCTGCGCCTTTGGATCTTGTGTCTTGCGTCAATCTATGTCAACCCTGCTTGCCTATGTATATACCTGCTTGCCCGTGATATCCCCTGTTCAATCAATGTGCCGGCACCTCGTCAACGAGGGACCAACAGCCAGGCCCACGGTCAGTGTGCAGCAAGCCGCCACGGCAGAAGACCAGCCAGCCACTCTCCTCACCCGCCTGGCGAAAGGTGGAGGGGCGGAGAAGAAAGAAGTCAAAAAGGATTAAAAAGGAATCAAAACTCCTTGCTGCTACTTGAAGGGTTGTGAAGTCCAGGACTGTGGTCAATACCCAGATCCAACTTGGAGCAGATCTGAGCTCAGCAAACAAATCCCACATCAAACCTGTTAGCAAGCAATATGTTCATGTAAACTCATTCCGTCTGAAACTATTCATCTTATTGCCGAATGCCAAGCTGCTAAACGATTGGATACGATTGGCCTATACCCTGTCAATCTCACTCCTTCTTGCCCACCCAAGTGGCCTTCGAAGTTTCCTGGGCACTCAGATGCAGCAGACGTGCTCGAATATGTTGACCCATGAGCACAACGAGATTAAGAATACTGAAGAGTTTAACTTGGATCAGTTGCCAGGGGGATCTTCAGGGTGTTCAAGTATCCAGAGGATTGACAAGGTTTTGACTACTCGTGAACTTTGCTTGATGTTCAGGGGGAAGGGTTATCCATGTCCACAGTATCGAAACTTCCAACTTTGCCCGAGCTTTTGCAAAGAGAAACCCGGTCGAACAACCTTTTGGTGGTCTGGTCTGGGATGTGACCAAATAGCCACCATTACCCTGGGAATGTTCTCAAGTCGTCCCTTCATGGTGTGATCTGCAGTATGTTCAGGTATCTTGGCATGACCCCATGTATTCTATGGTATTCTATGTATTTCTATGTCATGGTCATTCATTGTGTTTCCAAGTCATTCCAACTCAAAGGCAAGTTCCCAGCCAGGGCTACGGTCTGAGATCAACCACGGGGATTCTCACCCCACCCCCGAAAGATAAGAGGCTTGTGTACACTGTACGCATCTGTACGCTATCTAATTAGTTGTTGCGAAACGTTCTTCTTTCATTAGCACATCCTTGGCAAGTGGAGAAGCTCCATTGTGCTGAGAGTCGAATATCCAAGACCTCGGAATACAGTAAACCAAAAGGCAAGGGCGAATCTGTTCTCGCTGCGCTGCGCTGCTCCAATTGGCATTGAAAGAAATCGGTGCAAGACAAGCGTAAGTTTCCCTAGAAAATCAGGAACCAAAATGATTAGTGCGAGCTATCCTGCGTCCGGTTACTAGGAGCGTGCTTGGTACCTAATAGCTGCTATACTAGCTAGTAGCCTGATTAAATTGCACCTATTACTATAAAGTTATAAAACCTCTTAGCGGCCTACCCCCGTATAAAAATAGAGAGAGATGAAAATTATAAATAATAGACAAACTGAAAACTTGTTCAGCAAGAAAGGAGAAAACCTTCGAGCCAAGTGGCCGAAAGCCCGAGGCATTCCAAGAGGCCCCCAGCTCATCTGCCGAAGCGAGGTCACCTAGGCCCGAGCGAGGTCGAACAGGACTGTCACAGTGTCACGGTGTCACCTAAACGAAGCGAGTTTTGGACGATTAGAAGGCGTTCAAGTCCTGTGACCCATGTTGGACCAATGGATACGTGACCAGTGCATGATATGTTGACTCTCAGCACCAGCGGTCTCGTAAATTGTAAGTGGTGAAGAGAGAACCAAAAGTGGCACTTCTCGACTTCGCGCAATCAACTTACATTCAGTCCGTGAGGCAGGGGATCACTTCAGACTCCTGACGACCAGCATGTACAAAGGGCTTCTATAGATGCTAAGGTCTAAAGACATCAAGCCTACCACAAGAAGGTGGTGACTTGCCAAAGCAACACCCTGTGTCTTGCTCTACTTCTGAGAAATCACCCTGTGACTATTGTCTTGGATCAATCGTCCAATCCATCCAATTTGAAACGTCCATCAACAATTGTTAGATATGACAGTGACACCCTATCATTACCTTTCGCTGTCTTTTGCCGCTTTGTGGTACACCAAGCAGAAGGGGACTGTTTCAACACCCATGATCTTCAACCCTGCTCCTGGACCACCTTGGCCCTTCGTACGCTGCGTGCTCCTTCTTGCACTTCCTGCATAGAGAGGCCAAAAGAATGCCAAACAGGTTCAGGCATTCAGCGGCTTTTGCCCGATTTGGCTCCTTTGCGATGCGCCGCAAATCGCTGGGAATCGCTTGGTCTGTCTGCTCGAGATGTTGACAAAGCTCCTGCAATTGGCACGACGAGCTGCTTTTTTGTGACCTGCAATTAGAAATGCTTTTTGCAACACTGCAAGCTAAAAGAGAGACAGAGATGGCGACACAAACAGAGAGAAAGGGAGACCAAGACATTAGTGTGGAAGTATTGCACAGCCCTTGCCTCTGCCATCTGTGGAATGCAATCGGCATGTTCGAAGAAGCAAATGGCTTGACCCTGGCAATCGCGCGTTGAATGAGACTTTGGAAGGTTTCTGTGTCCTGTGAGTGCACTGAAAAACACCTGTCTCTTCCCATGCAGGGCAAACATCCTTGCAAGACAAACTGGCCTGGCCATCCATACCTCGAGCTGTGCGCCCAATTCGGTGGATGTAATCATCGATGCAGCCCGGCATGTCGAAAACGAAGACATGCGTCCTCAGAAGCGAGCATTGTTGATGCAGCGAAGATCTTATGTATTATTGGCATAATCAAAATCAGAATGGAAATGCTTTGCGCACGGAACACCCTTTCTCATAAAAGCCTTGAGCTCATGTTCATCTGCCGTCTTGATGATCTAAATTCAAATAAAATGGTCGCAGGAATAAAGGACTGAGTGTGTACGATGCTGTATTTCCTTCAACAAGGTGTTCTGGAAATTTCTGGAAGCACTGTTCTGCCTCGAACCTTCATTTGTCCATACGCCATGTCACACATTCGGGAGGTCAATGCCGCGCCCTAGCACGTCCGTGGCCACCAGCACGTTCGGTGCATTCCTGACATTCACCAGGAAGCTATTCTGGAAACGGTACTCCGACTCCTGTGGGACGAATGATCCAAATAGGCTGAACACCGGGAGGTGTCAAGGCCAATCAGAATTTAAAGCCATCCAAGTGTCTCATCATGGCTGGCAAAGTGCTGAAGGTTGTCAAGCCGCTCCTTTCGCCCAATTGGACAAAGCTGGATGCATTGGATGCAACCCTCCAAAATGACACCACTGCTTGAACTCAGCAATGCCGGAATTACAACCTGTATCCTGGCATGCCATCTTCCTGTTGAAGAGAGTATGATATGCTGTAGTCAATTGTCAGGTATATAACGTTATACAGCTGTCAGGTTAGCAATTGTGCTCTAAGGGCAGGGTAGTAATGGTCCTCGCCCCCTAAATGCATTGGTTGAGCGGCTACTGTAGTTCACGGACTTCTAAGTTCTAAGGGTTGCCTGGCGAATAAGCCGTAATCTTTGATGATACCTGAAGACTGAGCCCAGAAGATACTTTGCGATCAAATCAAGTGACTCACTATATGTGGATACTGTATACCTCTTTGTTATCTCGTTTTCTTCCTTTGTTTCATCTCTTCTTTTCTTTTAGTTCTTTGTATTTCTTGCAGAAAAGGTTGCCCGGGCCTGGGCCCCTACTAGTATGAGTAGCTGAGTAGCTAGGAAAACTTCAAATGCAAATACAAAGAATCCCAATATCTCCTGCTGTAACTTCCCGCCATGCACAGCCACAGCATGACAGCCTGGCCGACTTGAGCGTGTTCGTGTCAATAGTATTTCACCCCGAGTCTTTCCCTTGGATGGCACATAATGGCACTACATGTGGAGTGTGCGGCTCCACGAACCATCGAAATTGTTCGGTTTTTCATGCAGTGAGTGATCTTGCTCTCTAATCTGTGCAAACCATTTCAAGGCAACCTCGATCAGCCAGTTGCTGCACCGTAGTATCCTCAGTTCGGTTCTGAAATCTTGTGGAAATCTTGAGGTTCTGCTTAAAAAGCTTGAAATGTGTTCAGGCCTCATCAACAAGACTAATCTGTTGTTTCTAAGCAGCTGCCAGCTACTCCGTAACAGTCTTTTCCTAGGTGTGGTCATGCATCCAAGGCGCGGCTAACTTCTTTGTGGTGCAAAAGACCAGAGCCTTTCCAGGTACAGCACTCCCGCCACCTTCATCAGCGTCGTTGCAGACACCTTCCTCGCACGGGATTGGAGGGTTCAATTGTTCGACAGCGCGGTTCACCAAACAACATGAGGTGAAGTCCTCAAGTTCACTACAAGAAACAAAGTACAACTGTGGCCACACTATGATTCTTATAGACAGCTGCACACGTTCCCAGCCTGCACAGCGACTCCTTGGCAATTGACAAAATGCAACACAGTGCAATTCTGTGTGCACCGTCCGAATACGAGAATCAGTGCAAGAAAACAACCTGGACAATCCCTCCAAAGCAAAAGGCTGCCTCCTTACAAGACGTAGGAGCTGCTATTCACATTCACTCATGGTCCCATGGTCAATACAAATAAGTGGGGAAAACAAAACTCACTTCTGGGTGTCTGAGAGCGAATTGAATAAGTTCAATGCATCATACGCTGGGTACGCCTTGGTTAGAGCACCGGATGCTGCCTGGGAAGATTTCTAACAGGGAATTGCACATGACATGCCGAGCATCTTAAAAGCTCAAGAAGTCGAGCCAACTTGCGCTCTTCACGTTTTTCCTGCAAACCAATGGCTCAAAATCAACCTATGTTTTCAATTTCTTCGAGCAGCCCGACTCGCTGAACGCTTTTTCTCAGAATAGAATACCAAAAGCTTTGCCAAACTGAAGCGGCAGTCCCGTCCTCGCTCTCATCGTCGTCAAACACCTCAACGATCTGTTTGATGTTCCTTGTCGGACGAAATGTTTCGTGGTGCGTCTCGTCTGCACGGCGTTCGATGAGTGTAAACAAAATCGCGGAGGGGGATCGAAATGGATCGAATTATATAGTTTGGTCAACCCCGGAATAAACCGATCTGTGCCTTGCCTCTATCAGACCGCAACGCGACATAAATATATATATATATATATGTAAAATAGTATATAGTCAAATCGAATCCTTTTGCGCCCGGCAAACAATGAGCTGCAGAAGCGGTGAGCAAAGCACATGCTGATTCATGGGGCAAGGTATTTGTCCAGCGTTACCTTTGAGAGCATCTAGTCATGCCGGGTAAAGAGGGGAAATCTCTCAGCAGCTCCAGCTTGGTGAAATCTATATGTCTATAAATAAGGCGTCGGTAGCTGCGGGATCGGCTACTACTTCGGACTCAGGTCCTTCCCATCAAAAATCTGTTGGCCCGCAAAGCGACCTGGAAAACCTGCCTCCCTGCAGCCTGGTCTCCGTGGGCAAGCAGTCACAGTGCCTCCCATTGAGAGAGGAGGCACGACATCTCAAAAGTGGAGAAACAGAGTATGTGGTGGATAAAAACAAGATGGAACCCATGAACCCGAATGCAAGCACGATCGAAAAGCTACATATATCCCAATGACACTCTTGTAGGACACTCTTGTGGGACACTCTTCTGGGTCACTCGTGTAGGACACTCTTGCGGGACACTCTTGTAGGACACTCTTGTGGGTCACTCTGGTGGGACACTCTCACGCAACAATCTTGTGGGACACACTCTTCTGGGACACTCTTGCGAGACACTCTTGCAGGACACTCTTGTGGTTCACTCTTGCAGGACACTCTTATAGGAAACTCTTGTGGGACACTCTTATGGGGCACTCTGAGACACTCTTGTTGCGGGACACTCTTACGGGACACTCTTGTGGGACAGTGGGACACTCTTGTCGCTCACTAGCGACATGCCGCGTTTACACCAGCATGTTCCGCGCTCCCCAGTGGCACGGCGCATCGCAAACGCACTTTCCACCAAGGGCGCGCAAATCCACATGGCCCTGCGACATCACGGACGTAATTCCGCCACACGGCCGCCACATACTAGAAAAACGTATCACAGGATACCACCAATCATCCCGCTCACCAGCGACACGCCGCCTTTACACCAGCATGTTTCGCGCTCCCCAGTGGCACGGCGCCACGCAAACGCACTTCCCACCAAGGCCACGCAAATCCGCATGGCACTGCGACATCACGAACGTAATTTCGCCACACGGTCCGTCACACACTGAAAGCAAACATATCACATGATATCTGATACAACCACTCATCCCACTCACCACTAACACGCAGCGATACCTCCAAAAGTCACACGCCAAGTCTCCAAAACGAGCGTTTCGTACGAGACTTCCTCAAGAACTCACATGTCTACAAAACGAGCGTTTTGCACGAGGCTTCCTCCAAAAGTCAAGCGGGAAGCTCCATCGGAGCACACGCATCAAGCAGCCCTGCCAAGCAGTTTCGCGATTCCAGCCCCTCCAAACAACACCCGCACGCCAATCCCAATGTCACAGCAACATTCACCTCTACCACACCTCACAACCTCACGATTCCCTGCGCCTGCCACGAAACTTTCCGCGTCCACACGTCTAACAGTCTAACGCGCACACAAAGTACTGCGCACACCACACGTTTGGAATGACTTCGACCCGTTCAGCTGAGATCTGTCACAAAAACAGAGCTTCGATGCAACACCCTGAAACGCAAATCCCAACGGCACAGCCACATCCAACACCCCAGAAACACAACTCTCCAAACGCTAATCCCAATGGAACTGCGCAGAAAACTGCGGATCTCACAAAACGCTGCGCCTGCGCAGTGAAATCATCCTCCACACTTCAACATCTGACACTTCCACACGTTTCCTCGCTATTTCAAACGAATCTGACGCGTCACGTTTCCATCCGAAACCCTCTCCAAAAGCTTCCCCCGATGGCAGCACCTTAGCGCCCTACCGCGAACGGTTGCGGTCGGTTGCGGTCGGTTGCGGACGGTTGCGAACGCTGAGACAACGGGTCGCGAACAAGGCTCTACCCCCAGACCCCCAGAGTTAAACGAGATTCCTTTGCTACGCATTCGGGGTCCATGTTCGTTTGAGCGTATGTAAAGCGGAATTCGGAATACATCACACAAAACTGTATGAATGTAGTTTTCAGCTATTATTCAATCTTCCGGCAACTATGGGGGCCTTCAAAGACACCTTGCAATTGATGTCTTCACACCGTGCTGCTACCAACTGGAACTAGTTGCGACCAATGTGAAAATAGCCTGCCTCCCTGGACAGCATCCCCATCCTCGCCGATATGAACAATGACCTGCAGCATGAGGATGCGGCACTGTATTGTTTCGCAAGTGCTTCAGAGTCCGTCAACGGATTGAGATGCCTCCAGACTAAGTACATAATAATTAGTATATAGAGATCTGCAGACAGTCCGTCCCTATACTAGGCTATACCAAAGTGTCTATGCGTAGATCTCATAGGCTTGTTCACATCGGAGACGCGGAGACACGTACTTCTTTACTAACACATCTAACGCGTGTTTCGTTCATTCATGCTGATGCTTTGCTCACTTGATGCACTTACAAGTGGCAGGAGCATGTCGGCAAAAGCGTCTTGCTTCCTCACCCACCTAGCCGAAGGACGATCAGCTTTGATTTGAATACACCAGAGAAAGGTACTGCATGCTACAAAAAAAACAAGGAACTGGACGAAAGGAAAGACTGCCACCCCACCAAAAGCACCACAGGACATGAACCGCTGCGCCTTCTCCTCCCGCCAGGTGGCTGAGAAGAAGAGCGTCTGCCGCATGGAGGCAGTGCGTCGAGCCTGACGCGTCGCAGCTGCCAAAGCGAATGGGCTTGAATGGGCAAGTCGGCCAGGATATATGTATATATGTATTATATATGTATATATTGATATAGATATATAATCATGTTTGAAGACACTCTGAGCTCGCCTTTTTCTTCCACCAGTTTCG